TGAGTGTGTGTGTGTGTGTGTGTGTGTGTGTCTTCTCTCACCTGCGATCCTGAGCGCTGCCTCCACATGTACTTGTTTGTTTTCTCCATACTGAGCCACACATTTATACACACCTGTGCTGCGCTGCTTCACCTGACTGATGTGCAGTGTGCCGTTAGCGTACACCACAAACCTGCCACACACACACACACACACACACACACGGTTAGTTACAGCAATAAACCGCTGCAAGATCACCGTAAATTTAAATTAAATTAGTAAAATCACTGTAAATGTACAGAATTCAGCAACACGATACATTGTTAATTTTATTAATAACCAGAATATAAACAATTCTGCCACAAACGTGTTGTTGATTAGTGTTGATTAGAGCTGTTTACTGTTGCTAAGCGACGTATGTGGGTCACGGGTGTGTGTTTAAGGCTTCAGACGTGGATCATCAGACACAATCTGTCTGATCAAACACAATCTAACACTCAGATTCAGTCTAAGAGAGGCAAACGCCTGCAATCCCAGAATCCCCTGAGTGTGTTTACAGCTGAAGACGTGTTTGAACACTTTTCAAGCTGACGAACAACTGAAAGCATGAGTCAGATGAGAGCAGAATCAAACACATTTACAGTACCAGACAGATTACACTGCAGATATTCATCATCATATCTTATAATATCGATGTCAAACACAACTGATAAAGTCTCCCTGAATTAGATGATGAGCAGCCTGTGATCAATCCTGAATAATACTAATATTTTAAAATTAGATTTTATTTTTATATATTCTGACTTCACTTTGAATTTAAAGTTTTAGTAATTTTGTTGTTTTGTCATTTTTATAATTTTTTAATGTCTACATAGTTATTAATAATTTTTATTTTTCATTTTTTAATCTTTTGTTTACACTTCAATTTTAGTTAACGTTTTAGACATTTTGTTGTGTTTTTGTCATTTTTTTTTTTTTAAACATGCCTATATAGTTTTTAATTATTTAAATTTTTAGTTTATTTAGTTTTCGTTTTTTTAGTACTTTAACTTACACTAAACAAAAATTAGAAATGCAGTCTTGGCAACTAGCTGAAATAAAATTTAGTTAAAATACATATTTTTTTAAATTTTATTTCAAGCAACAACATTTTTTGTTTTATGGTTTTAGTTAACAATAATAAAAATCACATCTAAATAACGTCAATGGAAGGAAAATCCTTCATAATAAAGATTTAAAACATCTCATGAAATACATGAAGCTTCTTTATTACAACAATTCAATAAAAACGGGCTGTAATGTTTCGGAGACGTCATGAGCATGAATCTGGAGAGATCATGTGGAGTCGGAGATCTGCAGTGCACCACAGTTTTAAAGTGTTGAGATTAGTGCAGGATGTTATTAGTGCATTTAAACGCATCAAAGCAGAACATCACTGCTGAACGTGCCCAAACATTCACAGGACTTCCCATGATGCACCAGTGATGGATCATTTATCTGTGGGTGGTCAGACCTTCTGAACAGCTTTACGTTCAACAGACTCACACAGTCTATATAGTTTCTAATAATTTTTTTTGGTTAAGATTAATACATTTTATATATATATATATATATATATATATAAGTAAATGTTTAGTTTAGATTTTTTATACATTTTTAGCTTAGACATATATTTTGTTTTCATTTTAATTAAAGTTTTAGTCGTTTTTGTCATTTTTATAGGTTTTTTTTTTATATGTCCTCACACAGTCAATTCCCATGCACTCTTACCCTCTCAACACTTAAAAGTGACCAGTAAAGAGCTGGAGCCTGTTTGAGCGTCTGCACGTGATGTAAGCATTAGGAAACATTCAGCATATGAAGCATCTCACCGTGATTTGTTGAGGACGGGTTCTGTGTTGTGGAACCACTCGATCAGCGGCGGCGGCTTGGCTCTGAACTGACAGTGAAACACAGCCTCCTCATCACGCAAAACCACCTGATCCACCGGAGCCACCAGCACACGGGGAACAGACTCATCTGAACACAGAGAGAGAGAAGAGTTACACTGTGATCTTATTAATATACAGCATGAGACACACACACACACACACTCACACTCACTCATCTACAGGTGCATCTCAATAAATTAGAATGTCGTGGAAAAGTTCATTTATTTCAGTAATTCAACTCAAATTATGAAACTCGTGTATTAAATAAATTCAATGCACACAGACTGAAGTAGTTTAAGTCAGTCGTTCTTTTAATTGTGATGATTTTGGCTCACATTTAACAAAAACCCACCAACTCACTATCTCAACAAATTAGAATACTCCATAAGACCAATAAAAAAAAAAAGAAACAAAGACTTAAACTACTTCAGTCTGTGTGCACTGAATTTATTTAATACACGAGTTTCACAATTTGAGTTGAATTACTGAAATAAATTAACTTTTCCACGACATTCTAATTTATTGAGATGCACCTGTACTCGCTGCCTTCCATTATTGCCAGTTGCTAACAGCACTTGTCATGTGTCACGTGACCTTTGACCTTTAGCACACCTGGATCAGACCACATACCACAGACAGAAACTCATCCATCCGACCGTCCCTCCGTTTGATCCTTGTGCTCCTGCAGGACGTGATTCTATAAATCACCCTTTACTGATTTACAGTCACATTTACAAACATCATCACATTAAATAAACTTATTCATATAGTTTCTAATGAAACATAACTCACATAGTCACTTTAATGTGAATGCAATGAATATTTGAATCAAATACTTATCTTTTCAGCATTTTATGGTAATTTCATCAAGTTCATTTTGTGTTGATAATTTTCTAATCATTTAATCAAGTTAATTTTGTGTTCATATGTTCATTTTAAGTTGAAAAAACTTATGAATCAACTTCAAACTTTTGAATCAATTATTCACGATCCAACATTACATAAATGTCATTAATAATTTTATCAAGTGTTGTCAATCACAGCTGATTTATCTGTGCATCTGTAATCATGTCACATTGTAGATCAGACAGACATGCTCTAGATCAGATAGACACGCTCTAGATCAGATAGACACTCTAGGATCAGACAGACACGCTCTAGATCAGACAGACACGCTCTAGATCAGATAGACGCGCTCTAGGATCAGACACACACTCTAGATCAGATAGAAACGCTCTCGGATCAGACAAACATGCTCTAGGATCAGACAGAAACGCTCTAGATCAGATAGACACTCTAGGATCAGACAGACACGCTCTAGGATCAGACAGACACGCTCTAGGATCAGACACACACTCTAGATCAGATAGAAACGCTCTCGGATCAGACAGACACGCTCTAGTATCAGACAGACACGCTCTAGGATCAGACAGACACGCTCTAGGATCAGACACACACTCTAGATCAGATAGAAACGCTCTCGGATCAGACAGACACGCTCTAGTATCAGACAGACACGCTCTAGGATCAGACAGAAATGCTCTAGATCATATAGACGCGCTCTAGGATCAGAGAGACACACTCTAAATCAGATAGAAATGCTCTCGGATCAGATAGACACGCTCTAGATCAGATAGAAACGCTCTCGGATCAGAAAGACACGGTCTAGGATCAGACAGATACGCTGTTAATCAGATAGACACGCTCTAGATCAGATAAAAACTCTAGATCAAATAAACGCTCTAGGATCAGACAGACACGCTCTAGATCAGATAAATGCTCTAGGATCAGACAGAAATGCTCTAGATCAGATAGACAAGCTCTAGATCAAACAGACACGCTCTAGGATCAGACGTACACGCTCTAGATCAGATAGACGCTCTAGGATCAGACAGACACGATGTAGATCAGACAGACACGCTCTAGATCAGATAGACGCTCTAGGATCAGACAGACACTCTAGGATCAGAGAGAAACGCTCTACATCACATAGACATGTTCTAGATCAGATAGGCACGCTCTAGGATCAGACAGACACACTCTAGATCAGACAGACACGCTCTAGATCAGACAGACACGCTCTAGGATCAGACACACACGCTCTAGGATCAGACAGATACGCTCTAATATCAGACAGACACGCTCTAGGATCAGACGGACATGCTCTAGATCAGATAAACGCTCTAGATCAGATAAACGCTTAAGGATCAGACCGAAACACTCTAGATCAGATAGACACGCTCTAGATCAAGCAGACACGCTCTAGATCAGATAGACACGCTTTTGATCAGATAGATGCGCTCAAGGATCAGACAGACACGCTCTAGATCAGACAGACACGCTCTAGGATCAGACAGACACGCTCTAGATCAGATAGACACGCTCTAGGATCAGACAGACATGCTCTAGATCAGATAGACGCGCTCAAACACGCTCTAGGATCAGACAGACACGCTCTAGATCAGATAGACACGCTCTAGGATCAGACAGACAAGCTCTAGATCAGATAGACGCGCTCAAGGATCAGACAGACACGCTCTAGATCAGACAGACATGCTCTAGGATCAGACAGACACGCTCTAGACCAGATAGACATGCTCTAGGATCAGACAGACACACTCTAGATCAGACAGACATGCTCTAGATCAGATAGGCACGCTCTAGGATCAGACAGACACACACACTCTAGATCAGACAGACACGCTCTAGATCAGAAAAACACGCTCAAGGATCAGACAGACACGCTCTAGATCAGATAGACGCACTCAAGGATCAGACAGACATGCTCTAGATCAGACAGACACGCTCTAGATTAGACAGACACGCTCTAGGATCAGACAGACACGCTCTAGGACAAGCTAGACACCCT